ATGCAAGAGAGTTACGTAATCCCACGCGAAGATGAGCCCCCGCCCTTAGAACCCCGAGACCCTGCCCCGAGAAAACCATACCCTTATGTGTCTAAAGACCTGGAGAGGACCCGGCACTTCAAGCAAAGCCGGTCCAACAACTACGGTGGATGGACCGGGGAGTTCCAACAACCGCCCCCCCAGCTTCAACAATTGCATCACCAGAAGCATCACTCCCCCAGCCCCCAGACTTTCATCGAGCAAAGCTGCGAGACGACCAATGAGATCGTGTTCGGAGCTGTCCAGGAGCAAGATGGGCGCCGCGAAGCCGTGGTGATCAAGGCCGTCGATTACGCTGACCCTGCTTACAACCATTACAACATCCGATCCAGGTACAACTATAACACCACCTACTCTCATGGTTATTGAACAACTCTTTGCCTAAAATGATAGAAAATCACGAGAATGTGTAGTAGACAGGAAGTTTCTTACCTCGATGACTGCTACCTGGTTCATGTAACATATATGATTGTGAAATTCATATGATATAATTAAGGTTTTTCAAATTGCTTTGGTGACCCATTTTCATTCATATATACTGTGTGTTGAGTCATTGTGCAATCCAACTATCAGTTTAAGCTTTTAGTTGAGATGGAGCACATGCTTCAATTTGGTATCAGAACCAGTCAGGACCACCCATAAGCGACTACAGTCCACTGTTGCTTCAACTATCAACTTAGGCTTTTAGTTGAGATGGAGCACATGCTTCAATTATGTGAACCATATAATTGACAAGGAATTGAAGCAGCTTTTTATTGGTTAGACATCTTTCAAGTTTCAACCATTATATAACAGAATGACAAAAACACAAGGGCCCAGATGTTCACAACTGTACTAGAACCAAACAACTTAGTATTAAAATACAACATTAATAATATAATGTTGCTGCTCTCTGCAAATTTCAACCTGTCTTCTTCTTATATGCACTCTTCTCAGCCGTTTAATTTCTTTCTTGCAAGCACAATCCAGTCCCCTCCAGCAAGCAAAATAATTGATCCTATTTGCTCGATCAGATCAACACCCAAACATAATACACTTGAACCATGAAATATTTTCATGATCTAATTACGAAAATGAAAATAAAAACTTGAACTTGATCACCCACAACAAGAAAAAACAAAAAATTTAATGAATTTTTCAAACATATATATAATACAAGAGCAGCTGCTAAATGTAAGAATAAAGAATCCATCTGATACAATCACTAAAAAAATTGAGTTCGAGTTCGACTCTCATTTTCCATTCCCTCTCGAGCTTTTCATCAGTGATGAGGGCGATTGTGTACACCGTGTCCAGCCCCGGGGCTGGGACCAGAATTCTTAATGTCTTTGAGAGAGGGAGCTCTGTCAAAGCCACGAATGTTGGCTTCTTGGCGGGAACAGTGGAGGGGTTTGCCGCCATGGTTGGCGTTGAGATGGCGGGAGTTAATGGAGGCGACGAGCAAAGAGAGGATCAAGAAACCGAGGAGGAGTTGATGGTGGCAAGGTGGTGGTGCCATGAGTGGGTGGCGATTGGATTGAAGGTGAAAAAACACGTTTGTGTTGTGGATTTATAAGATGCATGTGAAGAAGGTTTGATTGACTTTTGGGAATAAAACAGAAGAGAAGTGATGGAACACGTCTTGGTTCAACATCAGAGGACATTATGGCAAAATGATTTGCATATATGGTGACTTGGAAGCCAAGCCAAAGGCTCAGCACAGATACATCCTCTTGAGAATGTACGTAATGCATGACAGCCTTCCTTTATTGTCTAAGGTTACAAGGCGGCGAGATTTACCTGGTTCCCCTCGTCACCCAAAAAAAAAACCCTTCTTAGGTTTGGGGAGTAATGAGACACTTGTACCCTCCGTTAATGGATAGTGTCAAATGGATTCCGTAGGATAATATACAGATTCGGGTAGCCTATGGAATATAGATAGTGTTGAGCAAAGGCCGGTAAAAGGTCGTGGTTGGGGAATTGTTGGGCAAGGGTCAATAAAGAGTTTAAAAGGTCAAATTCAACACCCAACGTTGCGAAAATGTGTGACAGTATAAAGATCGAAATAAAGTTACACATTCGCTACTAATGTTTGGTGCTGACATGCTTCTCACCACGTATGGCGGAGTCAATGGCTCGCAAAGAGGTGCGGTCCTGGCTCAGAGATAGGGGGTACGTGGTGGCTGTCGAGTTGCTCACTAGTGCCTAGATCAGCAAACACATTAGCTCATAGCTACGGCCTTTGCTCAGGCTAGTCCATTCCCCTGACTCTATTTTGGCTTTACTACAGAAATCTATATATACAGCCTTTTACTTTCAAAAAAAAAAAAAACTTTTAAACTTTTGGCATAATGATAAACACTTGATCCTGATAGTGTCAAAGAGGCTCAATAGAGTAATACTCATTAGGGTTTGACTTTAGAAATGGCTGAACAGGAAATACCCGGCCCTTTAACATTCCTACTTGCTGTAATAACAATTCCAAAACTTGGTCATTTCAGTTGGTCACGTAAGTGGGCTTGTTTTGGATTAAATCCATTTGAGATGGGCTTAATCTTGAGAACATGCATAATCCAGAAGTAACATATCCCCGTTTAAGCAACTCATATGTATCCAGGTTTAAGCAACTGGAAGATTGGACAGCACAGTATCCTATCCAGGACAAACACAGGTTGTCGTTGTCGCATACAAAGACCACATGCACCATCAAAACCCTTGCCTGCGAACTGCTACAACAGACAAAACCTACGTACACCAATCCATGATTCCCCATCATCATTGAAGGTTTTGCCGTCAGTAGTTCAGAAGTCTCTACCGCCCAATTATGGACCACTTAAAACAACCATTATATTATACTTTGTGGGGTTATATTAGTTGTGTTCTTCATACTATTATAAATTGTTGTGTTCTTCGTATTTTGGGTGTGTTTGATAAATAATTGTTAGTTGATAGCTGTTAGCTGATTAAGATTAATGATTGTAGAAAGATGTTTGATAAATTAGTTATTAGTTGATATAGTGGTCAAATAAATCAAAATTAACTGATAAGTTAATTATGGTACTAAATAAAACGTTTATTCATGGGATAATAATTCGAATCGTAATATCACTTCATTGATAATACTCGAATCTTAAATCATAATTGAAAAAAAAAAAATTGACTTCTTTTTACTGATTAATAGTGGGTAAGTGAGTGGGGCGGGGTTATGATAGAAGATTGAGAAATGAAAGAATATGATGTCAAACTTTTTGGACCACCATCTTGTTCTTCATCCACCTCTGAATTTCATGCCATAGATATATCATCCATTATGGTTTATGAACAACAGTCAACCTCACTACCAAGTTATTCCAACCAAAGTTGGCTTAGATTCGAAATATATCTACTGGAAATTCTGAAATTTCCGACCACCTGAAAGTTATCTTAAATCAAGTCGAAAGTCTTGTTCCGACCACTTTTGGTATTCGGAAAAACCCTTGTTGCTATTTCCGACCACTTTTTGCTTTCAATTTGATTTAAGATCACATTCAGATGGTCGGAAATTCAATAATTTCCAGTAGTGATATTCCTTCCAGATTAAAAGGATTGAACCCCAACTCGATCTCACCTATCCCACACTAAAACCTTAGCCTTTAGTAAAAGAGATAAATTACAAGATGTCTGGACGGTTTACTGGCTACTCCAAAATACTTGTACATTGGTGCCCTATTCGTTGCCAACAAAGCAGCGCTCACAACTTTCTTTAGATTGGTCAATCAACTGAACTATGTCTCAGGTCTCAAGGGCAAAATATACAATCAGTGCATTCAAAATGGAGTTGTGAAGAGAGAGAGAGAGAGGTATGGTGGATGACAACTACCAAATCAATCAAAGAAAGTGCAAGAAAGAAAGAAATCTCCTCTCTGTTGGCAAGGAACTCCCAGTAAAGGAAAGAAATCACCTTTCTATTGGCAAGGAACACAAGTATTGCAGCTAGTTCAATATGTTTATGGACACGATTTTGTCCCCCTTTCTTGTGTTGTCAAGTATATTTTCTCCGATCCTTCACATCATATTGGCTGGAAATTTAAAATTTTAATGAAACCCGAAAGAAACTGCACACCTAACTCACCATCAAACTAAAGAAAAATATTCTATAAAGGACAAGTTCTTCTAAGAAAGAAACTGGTTGTCTGTATATGTAAATGAACAAATATAAAAAGATTGGATAGATGGTGTGAAGCAAAAGCTCCACTTTCATCCATGTTTGAGGCAAAATTTATGCAAAAATTGCAACTGGAGTGGCATCTAAGCCGTAATCGTTAACAAGTCAAAGTAGCTGTTCATGACGATACTGATCAGAAACTCTTCTGAACCAAATCACGACAAAAATAGCAAAAATCCACTAACTCATTGTGAGAAGGCATTAGGCACAAGCCACTACGATTTAATTAACACTTACGTTTTCCAAAAGACAACTCTACTACACAACCTCATGGATCCCACCACCATTATAAACATACACAAAAAAAGATGACCCCAGACAAAAGATTGTGGCCAAAGTACCCACAAAAGGAGATCATTAAAGAAGAAGAAGAAAAAGAAAGGGATAGCAAATACATCAACAGTAACAAAGACGCAACAAGAAAAGGTGTATAATCATGGCCAGATTCGAAAACCTATATATTGTTTTTCATAAAGGGAATGGATAGATGTCCATCCTGTCAAGACCCAGGGACCTGGAATTTTTTATTTTTTTTTCGTAATTATAAATGAGATGTGAAGCACCGATCGAGTGGTTACCATAACGAGAAGAAAACTGTTGTTGGGTCACTACACCCACACTCAACCTTTTGACCACTGAGCTATGCCCTGGGGTTGACCTATGTTATCCTCGATTCAATGAAATGTGGCTTTCATATACTCACTCTTCATGAGCTTAACTAGAAACATTGTTCGTCAATCTAGTTGACCCAAGACATGATCAGAAAATCGTTCCATGATAATCAAGACATTAATTATAAATTAAGTAGGAATTCAAGACATTTCTCAATTTGATAGAATCCAAATTTCAAAAAAGAACCAAATAACACTGAGATTGGACCCAACTACAGATCTACCATGTTATAAGAGGTTACCGTTTCTTTTTTCCTTGAATTAGCAGCTTAAAACTTTCAATCGAAGAGTCAATGAACCGTATTAAGGAAAAAAAAAAAAGAACCAAAAATAAAAAATATACCAGAAGAACACTTTACTTGCCTTCTGCTCGACTCATCCATTGCGAGACCATATCAAAACGAGGAGGATCTTCCACATTGGAGTCCGACGAACTTGCAAATTTTCCTAGCCAAATCTTTGACATAGAGTAGCTATCGGTTTTTGCACCAATACCTATCCTTCTCCCATCCCCTTCAGCATCGTGGAGCGAGAGATAAGGATCCTGATCTCTTGATTTCACACGTTTCGCATCACCAGCATTTCTTCGACTGCTCAATGGTACCCTGAGGTTAGTGTCACCAACCACATATTGATACGAGCCCATCGAATAGCATCTTCTAGCATCCAAGTTACTACTGCTAGTCTCCCCTTCCCACTGAACTGTCAGATTATTTAATTTACGGAACTTCCCAAGTCTCACTGGAAAAGTGCCCTTCTCTACTACAATTTCCTTTAAATCGCTTGTTTTCTGACTAATAGAATTCCCGTTATCCCCGTTGTTCTGAGGACATCCATCCTCTTCTCCTAGTCCATCGTAATCAAACATGGGGTTATCTATCGAAAACCCACCATTGAAAAGGGCTCCTCTGCAGAGAGGACAAGTGGAGTTGGATAGGAGCCAAGTATCAATGCAGTTGATATGAAAAGCATGGCCACAAGTTGGAAGCAATCTCAACTTATCCTTCTCCAAGAATTCACCCAAACACACTGCACAATCGAAGGGCTCTTTAGGACCCACAATCTCTTTGTACATGAACACGGGAAGGGCATCGATAAACGCCTGATCTAGACCGGAGTCATGGAGATGGAAGAGCTGCTGCAACTGTCTCTGCAGGGCATCAGAGGTAGAAGCCTCAGGATTCCCATCAAACTCGGCCGAAGAAGAAGGGTTCTTGACAAGAAACCTAACCAGCAAGTGCAGGAGACCAGATATGAAAAACAGGACAGCCAATATGACTATAATGAACAGCACTGCTGGGCTAATCTTGTTCCCAGGAGAACTTGGTTGTTGTCTCTGAAAACTTCCAGAAACCGGAGGGGAGTATGTCAAGACACCATCTTTGTGATACTCAACCCAAGAATTCTGCTCAGATAACCATCTTGGCTCCCTAAATCCCCCCATTGAACAGATCATCTTGTCTCATCCGAAGAACCCAAAATCAAGCTCCTCCTTAAATCTCCAACCGACCCACAAATCACACAGCCACAAAACTTAATCTTACATTCGAGGCAAACATTTGCTTCATCAAAAGGGCACACCCACAAGGTCGTGTGTCACGAAAAGCAGCTAATTTCTTGATTTCTTTATTTTAAATTTTTATTTAATTCCCCAGACTCACAGGTTGCGAAATAATAAGAGAAAACTATGACACAGCCACTGAGAACATGATAAAGGTTGAAACTTTACCTCACTAGATCCCCATAAAGCCACCAGATAAATGTCTTACGCACTGCCAATCTCTTTAACGCATAGCTTCTCTGGAATTGCAGGCCATGGACAGAGGACTGAAATTTTGAATTCTCAATCCCTCTCTCTCTCTCTCTCTCTCTCTCTAGAAATGCTTACACACTGTGAACATACACAGTCATATGCAGGACATTCATATGTGAGAGAGACAATATAGTGGTCGAGTGCTAACAAGCGGAGAAGGAAAGTGCCAAAGCCCAGTGCTGACAGTCGTCGCTGCTTCCCAAATAAACAGTAAACAATTCCAAAAAGAAAAATGGGAAAAGGGCCGAACTATACGTGCGGAGAGAAGCGCGTGTGTTCTCGTCGCGGGAATGATATCTGGCCCACTAATAGGCCCAAATATGATATGGGCCAATCATTATTGTGTGAATCATGGTTCACACGGTAATTTATATCGTGCACTAGGGCGTGCACTGTATTGTGCGCCTTGAGGCAAAATAACGTTGTTTCACATAATTGTATAAAAAATATACATAATTGTATAAACAAACACACATAATTGTATAAAAAATACACATAATCACGTCAACTCTCTATCGCGCCTCCCAAAACAACGTTGTTATGGGAGGCGTGGGGCATACAGTGCTACGCGCGCCGTGGTGCAGGGTATAACGATTATGTTCACACATGTGTAAATCATATTATCAAATAATGTATATTTATTACATAAATAATATATTTTTAGTATATTCAAAATGTATATTATATTTATTAAAAATACATTATTTGAGTACTAAATGTTTTCGATGCGGGAATGAGATCAGGCCTACTAGTAGGCCCAAATAAGATCTGGGCTGAAAAGCAGCCCGCAATGAACTCATTATGGCCTTTCCTTAAAGACAAATGACGACATTACTGTATTCATAACTCCATCAACAGCTAAAAGGAAAATTATCACCCAATTTAATGATTTCTTAAAGTGTCCATCAAAATTTTGAATATTCAAATTATAAAACTGATTTATAGTTAATTAGTTTTAAAATGTTCTGGCGTAATTAATGGTATTAATGAGAATTATGGTGTGTTTGGTTCGTATATGAGAATCGCAATCAGAATGAGAATCAAAATACTTGGTAATGGACTAATGGTAATGAGTTTTGGTAAAATTATTTTGCATGTTCGGTAGTAGGGTGAAATTGGAATGATTACTAATATTGTTGTTTGGTTATATATGATCCTATAATGAAAATAAATGTTTTAAAAATACAAGAAGAAAAAATCAAGACAAATGATTCTAATATAAAGACATCCAAAGCAAAAACAAAAATCTAAAAGCAATAATCAAAATTTAAAAATCAAGTTTAGAATGAAACCCTTATTTTATTACGAGATGAGTTTTTTAATTAAGGGGTAATCAAATCTCATTCTACAAAGCTGTGAACTAAACAATAACTAACAATAACTTTGATTCACATTCGTGATAACTAAATCCATAAACCAAACACACCCTAAAATAACAAATGAATAAACACAAGATTAATTGCATAGAGGTGTAATAGTATAGTATATTTCAAAGTTTAGTATTGTGGTCGTTCCTTCCTTACATAGCACAAGGTAAATGATCTTGAGGATATAATCTGGATGAAAGACAATAATATATACGGCTCCAACGCCATTGCTGACCTGCATTTATTAATTTGTTAATTAGTACTTACTGCACAAACCAACCAAATTAAAGGGAGAATGGAAAAGAGTTAAAGCTAGCTTACGAAGACGAAGATGTCGAATCTAATGCAAGCATAGGCTGCCCAGATGATTCCATTAGTAAATTTGTTGAAAATAAAGCTAGATCCATACCATTATACAAAATGATGAAAGTGATTCCACAATTGTAATAATAATAACTCTAATACAACACTCAAGCCAAGACCCTAATTCTACCACAAAAATTAGTTCATGAATGGAGGTTTGGCCCCAACTTAAGTACCACTCCACAATCTCTTGTGGAGCCGATGTGGGATCGTATCAAATTCTCTTATGCGCGCACATGAGGGTGCCAGCAACAACAATAAGTTGTATTAGGAGCAAACCCGCCATTTTCCCCTCAAAACACTACTCCAGGGGAAAATGGCGGGTTTGTTCGTAATACAACTTACTGGTCTTGCTGGGATAGTTGCTGGCACTCTCATGGGCGCGCACACCATCGACAAAAGAACCACAATTGTGGTCACTTTCTATTCTTTTCATCATCATTTTGTATGGCTCACCTCTCTCCATAATGGTATGAATCTATACTAACTACCTCTGTGGTTCATGTTCAGTTGAATCACCATGATTTACATCCTCCCAAATGCTCTGTCGGGCCGGGATGTGGAGGGTCCTTAGGATTGGGGTTCAACATTTTGAAAGAATGAATCTATACTAACTTTATTTATAGACGAATCAAAAACTAACTTTACCCCATACACATTCTGAGTGCCAAGTAATGACAAATTAAATTTGATATATGGCTTCAGTTACAGCGATATGATGGATGGATGGGAGTTTCCAGGTGTGATGATGAGAGCGGAATTGAAAGTGGAGATGAGATGGCATATATATATATATATATATATATATATATATATATACTACTACTGCGATTAATTAACTAGAGTTCGTTTCTGTATGACTAAACTAATTTCGATCAGTAGGAGACTCATTCTCTATGCATGTTAGCATTGTTATGTTTGCTAATAAAATAATGTTACATAATGCCAAATTTGTGGAATGAAAAGTTTTGTAGGATCGGAGTAGCATTATTACCTATGCATTTTGATGAGGGGCAATATCGCTTGGTATACTCAACTGGTTAGTCACAAGAATGACCTATGCAATGTAATATATATGATGAGACAAATTTAACTCTTCTTATAAACAATTTATTACTTTTATAATCATTATTCCAAAAGGCTGAACCCCAACCCTAAGGGCCCCCTATACTCCGATACTTTTATAATCATGTAATTATAGTTAATAACTACTCGTGTTCTACAAGAAATTCATCTTCACACAAATATATAATAAGATATATAAGCAAAGAGTATGATATTGGAAAAACACATCATAGCAACTATTCCTCTTTATAATTATACATAAATACTAAGCCCGCATGGGTAGCTGGTCATAGAGGTGAAACTTTGGAAGAATTATACATAAATACTTATTGAATATAATTTACACGTCAAAAAAGTACTAAGTACCTAATGGTTGACAATGTCGTCCATCCAATCGCTATCTGAATGTATATATGTTTCCATTGTTTTCGTTCGTTTACTATTGATTATGTTATAATGTAGTATTATGCTTTCCGTGACGTCCTATTTGAGGGAGTCCACACTTATACTGCTTGATAGGCCTTTGGCTCTACCGACTGCTAATCACACTAACACGAGATACATCCATAGACCTCTCTTCCTCCTCTCTTATACCGTTAATCATCACCGCAACTTGGTTGATGGCGGGCCTGGCCGGCGGGGAACGATTAACGCAACTCACAGCAACCTGCAAAAGATTAACCATCCTCTCTTCATTAGCCCCTTCTCTGATCAATGCCCTGTCGAAAACTTCAACCGTCCACTCTTCTCTCAGCACTGAAACAACCCAACTTGCCACATCCATTTCGTCGGCCACCAGCTTCCCTGTCAGTAGCTCCAGAAGAATCACCCCCAAGGCGTACACGTCTTGTGTGAAGTCTGCTGTTGCGGCTTCGGCGGCGGGCTTCAGGCCGTACTCGCTTATGCGTGGCTCCATGGTTTGTGTGAGCAGGATGTTCGAGGATTTGAGGTTTCCGTGCGGGATAATTCCAGTTCCGGCGTCGTTTTTGAGCTCGCCGTGCATGAACGCCATGGATTCGGCTATGGTGGCCGCAGTGTTGAGTCTGCTAATCCACTCAAAAGCTTCCCCAGTTCGGGTTCCTGTAGGGAATTCAAGATCATATCGAATTTGAGTAATTAAAGGCTGGGTTTAATTTCTTGAAATTGATGGATATACTGGGCCCGGAACGAACGGGTTCGGAGAGACGGACCCAAGACGTTGCAACTCGAGATACGTCTCGGCCCAAGCCCCTTGGGCCATGATCAAGTCGGCCCAAGCAACTCGGCTAGGGGCCGAGTCCCGCCGTGGACAAGCTCGTCGTCATGGACCTCGGCTACTGCCGAGTGGGTCCATGGGGAACTCGGCCATGCCGAGTGGCCTGACTTTGGACCCGGTCTCGAAGGGGACGCGGTTAAAGCGGCCCGATCTAACTACCCTCGATTTTGGGGGTGTGGTTGGGGGTTTAATTGATATAAAAACCCCCCGTCTTGTCTTAGCAAGGACACTTCATTCCTGACACACTACTTTATAGTTATTATTGTCATAATCAAGCTTTGTAATAACTTATTAGCGATACTTAATATCCTTGCGATCTTAACAAGGACACCTTCCCTGCGACCTACGGTACCTGCGGCTTGACGATATTCTTGCGTTATATTTATTTATTTTATATTACGTTTTTATCTAGATTTACTGATTCGGGTCCATCCGAGTTAATTAAATCCATCCAATCTTGAAGAAGTAAGGAATGAATGATAGTTTACCTTGTAGGCGTCTTAGAAGGCTGCCATTATTCTGATATTCAAAGACTAAAAGCTTTTCTTGGCTGGAAGAATAGAAGGCCATGGCCGACAAGACACTGCGGTGTTTAGCCTGGTCCAATCGCTGCATTCTGGTCTTGAAATCACGGCTTGATATCTCCCAATCCTTGATTCTTTTCACAGCCAAGATCATCCTAGGATTCTCACACATAACCTTATATGAACTCCCGCCCTTTCCTCTCCCAATCAACTCCGCCGGCGAATTCAGTAGATCCTCAAATTTCAGCCCGTTCACCTCCGGGCTTGTCAGAACCACCAGCGCGTGCGACGGCGGCGCCGCCATCTCCGATGAGAATTCCGATGATGTTTCCGGCATGTTCTTTGATGTTTTTATGAAATCAGTGGATGCTGACATAGGATTATCAGTGAAATCATCGCTGTCTTCCACGGCTGCAACTTTTTTGTTAACATCGCGGGATTCGGCGGGTTGATTCTTCCTGCCATTTCTCCACAGCCAGAGACAAATTCCAAGAAGAACAGCCATAGCTAACAGGAAATAGCCAGAAAACATGAGAATCTGATCAGTCGAAATGTGTTTCTTCGGCTGCGATTCCTCCATCGTCTGATCACCCTTTCCTGTTTGCAGAACATGAAAGATGATCGAAACCAAGCATCCCAATACAAGACTATTATGCTTCATTTTGCACCATACACAAACTTATTCAACTGCAAATATAATGCAACATCTAGTACTAACAAGAACTTATATACTATCCCGCACGGGCTTAGCTCACTTATTCAGTAGGTCAAGAAGTCAAGGTTTGAACCCGTCAGCAGCAGTAGTGTGGAGATTATGTCTAACTAAAGTGGACAGAACTTGTTAGTAGCAGTGTGGGATTATGTCTGTCTAAAGTGGACAGATACCTTCTAGGTACCCCACCAACATTTGACCGGTCTATTAAGCTATTTAGTCACCTGATTTACATACTCCCAAATGCTCTGTCGAATCGGGATATGGGTGGTCATTCGGTTAGAGATTCAACATTTTGAGAGAAGAATTTATATACTAGACAACCCCAATTAAATTAGTCAGATTATTTGCTTAGTGATCATGAGATTTCAAATTCTACTCCTAGTAGTAGGTAACTATTTGTCTTCTTGTGATCTTTTGTCGACTGGAGTTATAAAATCAGGTTTACTCAATTCATATCATTGAATACTAATTGCGAGTTTAATAATATATTTTTATGTAGGGCAAGTTAAAAGATTTTAACACGACAAGGATGTCATGACATAGCCGTCTGGGGAAAGCTACAATGGTGTTTTCAAAATATTATTTTGTTGTCATTATTGTTGTATGGTTGATTGACACAGTCAAGCTGGAACTTGGAATTAGTACATAAAACTACTTGAAGATGGAGAGAGATTTGGCTGTTGGCAATGGAGCGCCGGCAGGTTTTTACGTCACTGTCATCGTCGTAAGAATATTTCATTAAAACGTGACGACTTATATTTACAATAAACAGAAATGGTCCAGACAGATCGATGAAATCATTAGTGGTATCAGATTCCAATCCCGTTGTGTATTCTTGGCTTCTTGCTCCATGTACTCTTCTAACTACTTCGATCAGTGCCACAGATCAAAATTTTAATTCTAATGATAAGATAAAATTAAAATATAAAGATATAATTAAAATATAAGCATATATTTAAAGTGTGTTAAGGAAAAATCAAATTAAAATATAAATATATTTAAAGTGTATTAAAGATTTAAGCAGACAAAGTGACTTGTGGTCCACTGGTACTGGGTTGCTCCCTTAAGTGGAGGTGAAAAGTTTGAACCTAATTTGAAGCAAGTAGTGTGTATATATGGTATTCCCTTCCTTATAATAATAAAAAAAAAAAAGATATCCCCTTATAATAAAATAAAAATAAAAATAAAAATAAAAATTCAGCAGCCAAACACCTTGTGCTCAGATGACTATTTGATTTCCATAAAAAAAAATATTACCTTATAAAAATGACAAATGTGATAGCGTAACAATAATTAACAATTAAAACTATAATTAACTTAGATGAATGTATGTTGGCAATTTATATCCTACACCACGGCGTACATTGCACTATGCGCCCAGATGCAAAACGACGTCGTTTTAATTTTTTTTTTTTTTGAAATTTCTCGCCCCAGTGAATGGCAGTAGGCTTTTCTTTAAAAAAAAAACCCGCTGTTCAAGAATGTACATAATGTTATACTTGAATACACATAATGTTATAACAAAATATACATACTCTTTTTAAAAGATAATACACATAATCTAACATAATACATAATAAACATAAACTTTTAACATAATACACATCAACTCTTAACATAATACACACAAATTTTCTGATTCGGATGTACATAATTATATAAAAATAATGTACATAATTGTATAAAAAAATACACATAACTGTATGAACCAATACACATAACGTAGTGAACGAATACACATAACGTTGTGAACGAATACACATAATCTCAGCAACTTCCTACCGCGCCTCCCAACACGACCCCAAAACGACGTCGTTTTGGGAGGCGCGCGGCGCACAGTGCTATGTGCGCCGTGGTGTAGGATATAACGATTGATGTATGTTTCAATTGTGGGCTAAGGCTTCATTGATATGGGTTTCACAATCTTTAAGCCTACTAGTGAAGGAGACTTGAGCGAATTATTCTTCATTAAATGCGACCCACGTGACACCCACGACGATCAGTGGGCAATTATGGGCCCATAAGAGGAAGTCCACATTGGCCCATTACAAACTCATCATTTGTTGTAGGGTCCTCGACATTACTCTAAATCAAATAAATTGGATTAACCCAATATAGCTTCAAATAATTAGTAAATGAATTGTTAACACAATTGTTAATGTTTATATCGCGGACCATAATAGTAAGATAGATTTTTAATACATATTATATTTTAAGTTATTTTTAGTCATTAAATGTTTATTTTGCATTACAATACATTAAAAATGAATCTACGGTCTACTAAAAATATAAATTTATATCAAAATATAATGAATCTACTAAAAATAAATGAATAGTATATAAAGAGTTAATGCTCAAAATCGTCCTCGACTATAGTGGTTTTTCTCAATTTCGTCCTAAACGACTTTGGTGACCCAATATCGTCCCAGACTTTTGTGTTTCGCTCAATTTAGTCCCAGACTTTTGTGTTTTTGCTCAATTTAGTCCCTCATTTGTTATTCTGTCCATTTGGTGTTAAATAAATAGACAAATCAGTAATTTTAATATTGGCATCTCTTTACTCATAGACATGTGATCTGCGAAATCCCTTTTTTTTATGAATTACTCCCAGAATTACTCCTAAAACTGCGAATATAAAATTTGATTTGCAAGGTCCGGGAGTAATTCTGGGTGTAATTCGTACAAGAAAAAGGAATTTCGCACTTCACAAGTTGAAAGTAAAGAGAGATCAATATTGACATTACTGAATTGTCCCTTTATTTAACACCAATTTGACGGAATAACAAATGGAGGACTAAATTGCGCGAAACACAAAAGTCTGGGACGATATTAGCACCAAAGTCGTTTAGGACGAAATTGAGAAAAATCACTATAGTCGAGGACGATTTTGGGTATTAACTCATATGGGAAATGGAAAAATCACTATTTTGGTCCCTCAATTATTTTTCAACTATCAATGTAGTCTCTAATTTTCAATTTTAACTAATTGATCATCGAATTGTGTAGAATTTCGTCAATTAGACCTATCGATGATCAAACTGATAAAATTTTTAAAATGAAAAAATCGTCATTTTGGTTCTTCGGGGGGGTTTAATTGACGAAACTTTAAACAATTCGAAGATCAAATTAGTTAAAATTGAAAACTAAAAACTACATTAACAGTTGAGAAACAATTGAGGGATCAAAATTGTGAGTTTTCCTATGACAAATGAACATATATTAGTGTCCATTTTGTAAGGTCGACTCTATAATGAACAATATAATTTGCCTACAAGTGTAAGCTAGATCAGAAATTTGTGAAAGATAGACAACTCTAATCAAGTATGTTAGAGAATTAATTTGATAATCATAAATTTTTGAATTCAATTTAATGTGAATTTCTGTATTAATTTTTATATTTGAGCCAGTGGACACCCATGTTTAGACTAGTGATTCAGTAACTCAAATAAAGTTTGCAAACGATTAAGAATGGAACGAAATCTATGAAAAGTTACCGTTGTCACTTTGCACAAAAAAGGTAGGCGGTTGAATTGCCTACCCGACAAACATTCTAGAAACCAATAATTGGAATTGGAATGTTTATATATATTTCGAATACTTTTGCAAAAATCCGAATGGTAACTCGTGATTTTAACAGTTTTTATTGTTATATTTATCAGACAATATAAGGTTCTGTTAATTACTTAGTATATATACATAATATGTTATTGGATTATATAAAATGATCGTTGGTTATAAGTGGTCAGAAATTATTTAAATTGTAAAATTAAAAAAAAATTTATAGTAGAGCTAGATTTATCATTGCAACTTATAAAATTGGTGCGGCATAAATATATAGTCACGCTTTTCTTGTGGTTTTTTAATTTTGTTCTATTTAATTTTTTCACTATGTGAACAAAAAAGAATAAAAAGTCTAATTTATTACAATTTGATACATTTCTCTCTTATGATGTCAAGAAAAATCACAATATTTTTTATTTTGTAAATACAACAATAATTTATCTCGTGATCTTTAAAAATGCCAAGCATCTTTCAATAGATTACAAAGTTATTAGGCAAGGACTTGTCAGCCTTATTTGGCAATTTATTTTTCAACCCAATTGGAGATTTATTATTTTTTGTTGAGAAATGGTAAAATACACCCTTCAACTTTACGTAAAAAGCCAATAAGATCCTTGAACTTTTGAAAGTTATAATTAGATATATTAACATATTAATTTAGCACATCAAGACCTAAAAATCTTAATAGTGACATGAAATAGCAAGTCAATAATGTAATGAGAGATGTCTGGCAAAATTCCGACTAAGGTGTAACCAACATGTCACCGGAAAACGAGACCAAATTGGTCGTTGTCTTCGTCGACTGGGGAAGGCGACCGAACCGGTTACCTTCTTCGTCTTTGGAGATGGAGACCGGTTCGGCCGCCTTCTCCGGTCGACGGAGATAGCGACTCATTTGGCCGCCTTCTTTGGTCGATGTAGATCGCGACTGATTCGGTCACCTTCTCCGGTTGATGAAGACAACAACAAGTTTGGTTGTTTTTTTCGGAGACCTGTTGGCCGTGCCTTCGCCGGAATGTCGTTGGAGCTCTGCTGATGCATTATTGACCTGCTATAGCAGGTCACAATTAGGATTTTGCGCATTGTGCAATTAATATGTTAAAGTGTCTAATTGTAACTTTCAAAAATTCTGGGGACTAATTGACTTACACAAAGTTGGAGTTGTATTTGATCATTCTCCATTTTTTTGTTTATTTCAATTTTAGAAGTCAATATTAGTTTTTTTCCTCTTTTTTTTTTTTTTTTTTTTTTTTTTTTTTTTTTTTTTTTGTCATACTATTGATACTTATGTTTTACGAGATAACATTAATTGAGTAATTTTTTTGCCATATGTGTGTCCCACTATGTGTCGTGCTTTCCCGCCAAACATCTCCACACGTGTCATGTTGCAGAGCAAGTTCAAAGACCTTGCCAACCACCCGAAGCTACGCATGATCACCCACCTAGCCATCTCACTACTGGTCAAGTCGCCCGCCTGAGTAGTCAATTTGAGCGGTCCACCATCTCCGACGAGTCATCCGTCGACCTCCAAGTGGTCGACCCAACATGTTGAACTAAGTCAATGCCTTTTGGCCGCCAACGGATAGCTAATATGACCAGACTGTGGGCGGAAATATCCAGGGGTAGTAGACCCAAGAGCGGTTCGCCAACTTGGCTCTTGCGATCCGTTTGAGCCCTATGAGGTCCGCTACTCATCGATGAGCCTAGATCTGACACCCCCACAACCAAGGCCAACCGTTTCTGCATATTGCAATACCAAACACGCCCTTAGTCGTTTTTTTTTTTTTTTTTTTTTTTTTTTTTTTTTTTTTTTTTTTAATACTATTGACTCTATTACAATGTAGTATTTGTTCATACATACTCCTTAATCCTCCTTCTAAAGAAAACCTTTACGCGATATCCCTTGGGCCATCACTTTTTGTGAGTTCTTCATTTCTTTTCATTTAATTTTATCATTATGTGAAAAATAAAAAAAATAAAATAATCAAAGCCTATTTAATTATATTTTGGTATGTCTTTCCCTATGATGTCATGGAAATTCACAAGATTATGTATTTTGTAAAAACAACAAGAATTTATCTTATAATCTCTAAAAATGTCAAACACATGTCACTAAATTACAAATTTACGAGGCACTAATTGACTTGTCGTCCTTATTTCACAATTTCTTTCTTTTCTAACCCAACTAGAGAATTATTATTTTTTGTTTAATTCAAATATAGAACTAAATATTAGTTTTCTTTTTCCTTTGTTGGCATACTGCTATTTATGTTTTATGAGATACAATTAATTGATTAAATATCGTTTTTAGCCCTCAACAATTATTATTTGACCACAATTGTCCTCAACTATTGATATATTAAGTGTTTTTTTTTAATACTTTCAAAAAAAGGGTGTTTTTTTGAATGCTACCTTATTACACTATTGATTTCCATTTATTTCTCAAAGTTAATTACCCGTTTAAATTTTTATCATTTCAATATTTAATAAAAAATATGACTAACAAAATAATTTCACCACTCAATTAGAAAAAAGTTAATGAGAAAGAGAGAAAAATTATATGTTGAGACAAGAGATTTAAATAATAACAAGAGATTTAAATAATAAAATTACGTGTTAATAAAATTTTTTTAAAGGGAGAATGACTAAATTTTAAATGAACGAATAATTGCCAAAGACCTTGTGGTCGAACGGCATGACTGTGATTCTTATAAATGGGGTTGACCCTTTGTGTTTCAATAGGTTGAGAAAAAAATAAATGAATAATTACATAAGCAAATAAAAATTTAAAATATATGGAGTAATAAGATTAAATTTAATAATACAATAATAATGGAGGACTAGATGTAAAATTTATTGAAATGAATTCAATGGGATTTTAATCGGTTGTTATTCGGGGGACAGTTGTTAACAAGAAAAATATGATTTTTAATTCCATACGTTACAACATGGGGATTATGAGATTATGATTATCCCAAACACAGGTTCTGTCCCTCTCTCTCTCTCTTCCTTTCTCTCTCTTCCCTTCACGCATAACGCACGTTTGCTTACAGTCTCAGTCTCACTCAGCAAAAGTTCTCTCTCTAAAGTGTTAGAACGTGGACACAGATACACAGTTTTTTTCAATCCTCAGGTACGTTAATTTGGCCTTCGCCGGAAACAACCCAGTTCGTCGCTATCTCCGAACCTTAAAATTTTTCGTTTTTAGATTAGTGGATTTTAAGGATAGACGCCGCCGCGTTTGTTTTCTTGAGGTACTGCTGTCTGCTTGTGTCCGTACTTTACATGCACTTCCCTCCTCTGTGAACTGTTGTAAATCCATTTCTGCATTCGGGTTCGGGTTTTACTTCAATGCCCGTCGTCTCATTCCCAACGGAGTAGTACATTCTGCTCCAATGGCGGACGAAATCCGATTCCCTTCAATTATAGGCCTCTTTCGCCTAACTGAATTCCCAGTTTTTTTCTTCTTTTTTTTGTCCAAAAATGTTGTTTGTTTTATCCTTTTGGGGATTTGCCGGTTTGTTTGTTTGTTCTGAAAAATTGTTTCTTTAGATTTTGTTTTTAAAAAATTTATGAGTTTTCCATATTTGGATAACGTAGCGCTGATGACACTAGAAAGAATCTTTGGATAAGGACGGAGTAAAGAGGCTAATATCTATATCTGATGCTTTGAACTTTTCCTACTTTGGGTATGTATAGATATTAGCAGGAATTTCTTGTTTGGGATGTCAAGAAGGAGAATGAGCTCGGCTCCTCCTCGGAATGCAAATGCGAGAGCTTTGGAATTGGAGAAATCGAAGGCGAGAATGGAGAAGAAAGAGGATGCTAAACAGAAGAAGGGCTGCTTCCCTTTTCTGGGTTGTTGTGCATCTCCAAGGCCTCATCCCGAGACTTCTGTTGCAAAATGTGGTAAAACTCCTCAAAAACACAACCTTTATATGATATCACATTGTTTTAAGTTCATCCTTTTTACTGTGCTTAGATAGTTTGTGTTCTTATTTGGTTCAAAAATTCTCTGTGTTTCTAAGACGACAGAATATAATCTTACGTGCTGTTGAATTGCTTTCCTGCAAATCAAACTTGTTCGTGTTTCCCTTCGAAAGGCAAATTGTTGTTTTCTCGTGACAAATGCGTGTTAGCTGATTGTCTAAATTCACCGCCTTTTGCTACCTGTTTTCGTTGATTGATACATTCGTGGGATAGTGATTACGTTATGTCCTTGCTGTTATTGGGGATTGATCTGTTTTCATGAACTGTTTCCTTTTCGATTGTTTATATTGTTAATGGTAATTATGCAATGAGTAATGTTATTAGAATCAAAGATGCAAAAGGGGGGAAGGAGGAAATATGCATTCTTTAACAGTTGCAGTAGTTGATGGTGGTCTGTATGTTTCCCGACTTTAATTTTTATATTCTATACAGATACCGAAACCAAATCTTCAAATGATACCAGCAGAGACCCCCCAGCTGCTGTGGTTATATCGTCTTCAGCTACAAGTAACGTGGAAACTACTCCATCAACTCCTAACATAAGCGAGGAATTGAAAGTCGCCTCTCAGCTTCGAAAATTTAGTTTTGCTGAGCTCAAGTCTGCAACCAAGGGCTTCAAATCTGAATATATTCTCGGTCAAGGTGGCTTCGGGTGTGTTTATAAAGGTTGGATCAATGAGATTGAAGCCACGTCAGCGAGGCCTGGCTCGGGGATCCCTGCTGCAGTGAAGACTCTCAATCAGGATGGACTTCAGGGTCACAAGGAGTGGCTTGTATGGAAATGTTACACCTTTATTTTGTCACTTTTTTTTTCCTTTATAAATACCTCAACGCCATAAATAATATATATTGTTTTTTTCTATTCACTTAAGTCATTCTCTTGTGGCAGGCTGAAGTTCATTTTCTCGGTGACCTCCAACATCCACATTTGGTAAAATTAATAGGATATTGCATGGAGGATGATCAAAGAATGCTAGTCTATGAGTTTATGCCGCGTGGAAGTTTGGAAAATCACTTATTCAAAAGTATGTTTCGATTTATATCTGTGAAGTTAAATAAATCTGCCGGTAGTGAATTAAAAGCTTTTGCTCTATGTAAAACTATCAACGCTTATATGATTTCGTGTGTGATTGTACTTTTCAAGAAAATTCGAATGGCAAATAAAACGTGCAATTTTACATTCCAAGCCAAGTTATCGACAATCCTTGAAATGGCAATGTTTTAGCTTCACACACTGCTTCCTTAGTTCTCTGTAATACATATATGCTACAAAACGACTTAATACGGAGTATCTGTCTTAAATATAAAAGTATCTGCATTAGTATTGAACGCATACATTATTTTGTTTGAAATGTTTGTTCTTTTTGAAAATTGTTGCATCAATATGTTTAAAATTGCTCTCTTTTTGCAGATTTGTATTCTTTTCTAAGTAAATGGGATTTCTTACCGTTTAAATTGGGAAATGAATATCTAGGTTCAGCACCCTTTGGGTGTTTGGGGTTGACTTGATACTTCCCAAATCTTTCATACAATCCTAATATGCTATATTCTATCAGAAGCAAATGTGATCACCTTAATTAAGAGTGCAATATATTGAGAAAATGAATGGCAAGAGCTTTTAAGAAGCGTCATCGGGAGCTAGGAGATGAGCGACAAGAAAATAGTGTGAGGCCACTGAAGCATATGTTATGCGAATTGTGTGGAGTAGGAAAGAAGACTATGAATCTATTATAAGCACTAAGGTTAATAAATTATACCCAATGGTGGACCTTGTCCTCTTCACTAGCTAGAAACAAGCCTAAATGCTATCGATGGTTTTACAAGGTATGTCCAATCTCAAGAATGGTCGATCCCCACAATGGCCTTTTGATGGCCTATTTATAAATTAGACCCAAGGGTGGGCCTTGTCCTCTTCCTTGGGCTAATAGGGCGGCAACCTCCTCCTGCTCCACCTTCTCTGTGGACCATCCTTGCGCATTAAAGCCTTTTTCTAGGTCGTCTTGTCTCCTTTTTTTTGGGCCACACATCCTTCTTGTCTAGTTCTATCCCCTAGTGCCCAGGCACAACCTTTGCGATAGGGCCGACCGGTCGAGGTTTTCCTTGATGTGCATGGGCCTCCCGCCAACCATATATGTTGGGCCTTTGGGGGCCCAAAGGGGGTATGGGCTACATCTCCATCCCCCAACACTAAGTAACGTGGAATTGGTGACCACGGAGAGTATATAGGCTTGGTTTGAGAAATGGTAGACGTTTCATCTTTTTAGGAAGGCTTTGACATTGAACTTTCCAAAACAAGGGGGTCGGCCAAGGGTTTAATTGATGCGGACTCAATAGAAAATAATTTCTATTTATAGAAGGTGTGCTTAATATGGACATGTTTTTTATGTTATTAGATTGGAAGCTAGGTACCTCGAGTCTTTGCGTGATCTCATTGTTATCATGTTAGTTTATTTTAGTAGATTAAAAGTTGGACCCTTTGTCGGGACATTCCCACAAGCGTCTAATTGTTTCATATGGGCGCAATGGGCCCAATTTTATACTAAAACTCAAATCTCCTTATATATTTGGACAAGGGTGTACACCATTCAAAAAAAAAGAAGGAAAGTTTTTTGAAACATTTAGGAGGAAATATTGGCTCTTAGACTCTTGTTTTTTAGTGGAGCAGTTTTTCAGGGCAATGTTGTCATATAACTGTTGATATGAGCTTTTGCCTTCTACCAATATCCATAATGTTTCTATTTTTAGTTGTTTTTTGTTTGTTTGTTTGTTTTTTTTTTTTTTTTTTTTTTTGAAAAAAAATTCTTCCTGTTTGCTTATATTTTTGTGGGGCCATATTTTCCATTAACTTTATCATTGTTTGATCATAGGTTGCTTTTTATTATTGTTGTTTTAATTGTTATCCTTGCCGATAGTGTTACTTTAATTATTTTTATCACATTCTAATTGCGATTACTATGTACTGCAGGGTCCCTGCCTCTTCCATGGAATATCAGAATGAAAATTGCATTTGGTGCTGCAAAGGGCCTCGCCTTCCTCCATGAAGAAGCTGAAAGGCCTGTTATATATCGAGATTTTAAAGCATCTAACGTCTTATTGGATGTGGTGCGTATTTCAAATCCTTAATATATCCGATGTTTTTCAATACATACTAATTTATCCAGGTTTATAATTTCTATTCCAGGAATACAATGCAAAGCTTTCTGATTTTGGGCTCGCCAAAGATGGTCCCGAGGGAGATAAGACTCACGTATCAACCCGAGTCATGGGAACCTATGGTTATGCTGCTCCTGAGTATGTCATGACTGGTGAGTTAGCTTCAACCGTGTATCTTAATTTTCATTTTTTTTTTTTGGGTTCTAAAATAGTGTTGAAATTATTTCTTAAATGAGATATGCAGATCCTAGTATGAGACCTGGTGTCATGTTTAATTAATACTAATCTTTTATGTTTATGACCATCCGATGCAATTCTATAAATTTGATGTGGTGTCATATCAGAATGTACCGAGTACTAGATGATCTTGAGGAAAAACCTCAGGAAGCCCGTGAAATTAGAGAGCGATGTTGTTGTTGATATGAATGAAGATGCCATTATAGTTCTGCGGGGAAGGACTTGCGATTCTTGCAAAATACATACATATTCTTGCAACCAGTGTTGCAAAAATCGGGCCTAGGCGGTCGGTCACCTAGGCGCCGATTAATCGCTCTAGGCGCCCTAGGCGGTCCCCAGGCGCCTAGCGATTTTTTCAACCTTGCTTGCAACTTAACGTTTTGGCAAATACTTTACCCCCATATATTGAAATTTGAAAATTCTGTCTCGTAGCACTTAGATGGTATGTTGTCGTATTTGAGTTTGTCGGTTGAAAAGAGGTGTCTGTCATTCAGTGAAACAGAACATGCTGACGTGTTAAAGATGGGATTCATGCTAAGTTGATAGCTTATTGAAATCTGTTTCTTACATTTTACCTTTCTGTTTGATAGCTGAACATGTTGATATTTTACAGTTTCATGAATCCTATTGTACTGTTTCTTGTTTCTGGAACAGTTATTGGTTGACCTGATTTGTTTTGTGGCAGGACATTTGACATCGAAAAGTGATGTTTACAGTTTTGGAGTGGTTTTCCTTGAGATGATGACTGGGAGGAGATCAATGGACAAGACGAAGCCACATGGGGAGCACAACTTGGTGGAATGGGCGAGGCCATACTTATCTGACAGGCACAGGTTTTATCGTCTGATAGACCCACGCCTTGAAGGCCGTTTCTCAATGAAGGCAGCTCGAAAGGCAGCCGAGCTGGCTGCTAACTGCCTTCGTCGTGACCCAAAAGCACGGCCTCTGATGAGCGAGGTCGTTGAGAGGCTGAAGCCTTTGCCTCACCTGAACGACATGGCCTGCGAGTCCCCCTACTTTCATGTCATCCAGGGAAGGGCTAATGGGAGCAGAACGCAGGGAGGAGGATCAACATCGAGGAGCAGGCGCCACTCCTTGCCAAGCGCCCCTCCTCGTGCTTCCCCTTCTAACCATCCCGTCCCTCAACAATCACCAAAACCCAGCAATGGGTCTTAGGATTAATGTTTGTTTTATTGCTTTGTTCTCCCCTCCCCCCAATTTTGAGTATCTGCTGAAGAGATTTTTGTCTGGTTTGGCTATGAATGGTGGGGTGGGAGAAGTAAAATATAGAGAAAGCACTGTGCAGGTTATGTGCAGGTTATGTGCAAGGTATGTGCAGGATGTAGAATTTTAGATATGGAAATTGATATTGTTAGGCCTTTTTCTCTAGTCTTTACCTTTTGATGCAAAATGTAATTAACTTTCGATGCAAATTGTAATTAACTTGAATTATTTTTCCTTTTCCATAAACAGTAGGTATTTTCCAGAATGCATAATAGCATATCATAAGCTTTATCTGTAGGAAATAGGAATCATGACAGCTAAATGTAAACAACTAGATATCAGGGTGGCCGCTCGCATGGGCAGCTCAGTTGGTCACAGGGGTGAAGTTTGAGAACAATGGATATCTGTGACCAATCACTATGGTCCACACAATTGTGTAGACATAGTGATATCCGCAAATATGTATATTATTATCAAATGAACCAGTAATAGAATTAAAATAAAATTTTAATATTGTTATAATGAATTTATTGTGTAAAACAAAATATATATGCATATTTTCAAATGAATTAGATAGTAAATATATGAACATGTAATTAAATGATATTTTAACTACTATAATGAAACTGTGTAAAAAATGAAACTAAAACATAACTCATACCATAGTCTACTGCTAAATGGACCACTGTCCATAGTAAAATTTACCTATTTATCTTTCATTATTATTTTCATTTATTGCAATTATTTATATTATAGATTATATTAAAAATAAAAGGCAATACAGCATATTGGGAGAATTCATTTAGATCACAACAATGCAATGACTGGGAAAACAACTCATAAAGTTCCACACTAGAATTCAAGAGCTTTTATGTACAGTCTCACAAATAAGCAACAGAGTTGAGAGAGATAATTGAAAGGATTTTATATGTTTAGTTGTTAATGTAGCAAGGACAACACTCAGCTTCTTTAAAGACCACCCCCCCTAACGCGAGAATCTGCTACACTGTTCTGAGCATCAGACAATTTAGTCTGCTGTCCAGCTTTGCTCGACAATCTCACGAACCTTCCGGTTGTACTCACGCTTGTTCTCACTAAACAATCGTGCGGCTTCTGAGTTGGCTGGTGAGTTGGGATTTGGATCACAGAGCAATGACTGCAATTGAAAAAAAAAAACAAGTATTGAAAGGCTGATTGCATGTGACTCAAGGACGGTTGCAGATATTGGATAGCTGGATACACATGAACATACCTGGATTGAGGTAAGTATTGCTGCTACATCATAAATAGGGCTCCACTGGTTTTGCAGGATATCCAAGCATATACTTCCGTCGGCATAAACTGAGCAAGTATGTAAAGATAATGGCGTGAAAAGAACTCAGAAGTGCAATTTCAATCAACAAATATTCTAACTCATGCATGGAATAGAAATTTTAGACATCTAGCACACAGATTACATTAGAGGAGAAAAAAATATGGAGTAGCATCTAACAAAACACAATAGCAAGCCATTTTCATAAATTCAAAAGCTGCTTAGCCATCAATGTGCTCAACAATACAGAATATTCGAATTAACTATGCATGGGTTCTAGACGTTTAGTATGATAGAAACAAGTACCCCCAGTACTCCACTTCCAATTAGGGATGACAATTGTACCCGCACGGCCACACCCAATGGATGTCCATATGGGTATGGTACAGCCAAAAAAGTAAGGTTTTGAAATGGGTATGGTACAGCCAAAAAGTAAGGCTTTGAAATGGGTATGAAAGTTTTCTGGATAATTCTTCAGGTACAGGGATTTCTCCCCTGCCCATTATATAAATTATAATAGTAATAATTAATTGTTACATTGTTATTTGGTATGCAATTTAATTTAGAATATGATGTGATAGCATCTCTAATTTTTTAAGTTTTCAGATAAATGAATAGGATACAGGGATTCCCATAAGTAATACCCATCCCTGCCCCCAGTGTTTTAAAAATCACTAGGTGCTGATCGGGTGTTTGATTAAAGACTTCTAGGCTTCTACCAAGTATTCCTTCTATAAAATACAAATGTTTGATCACAGATAATACTCCAAGTCTCCAACCATAACACGAAATCCATCAAAGAAAGAAGTGGACAAAAAAAAAGGTCCACATAGATTTTTCAAAAGGAAATGAGTCATATCTCGAGAATGTTAAATCAAGAATGATATTCCAATAAAATTCAAATTAAACATATTTCAACCATAAAGTATATGGAAAAGAACCAATCCCAGCAACTATTTTGGTGTGAATATGACACAAAGCAAATGTAATATGTTGGAGGAACTTACTATTAGGATGAAACATTCGGGAAATAAATCGCACCGTTGGTGGCTTATTTGGATAATCCTCTGTAAACTGAAGTGTCAACTTAAACGTACCTGAAAGCAAACAGCATATCAAAGAAACGGGCCAATATTTCACAGGAAAAGTGACCGGAAAAGTTTAACTAAAACTGACAGACAAGATGGATGCAACCATCCCTTCTAGAAACAATCTGATATATGAAGAACCTAACCATAGGCCAATCAAGTGCACTCAATGATAATTAACAAATACAATGTTTATAGAATAAAAGAAGGAACTAGTTAGATGTAATTTGGCCTAGGGCAAACCAAAAAAAAAAAAAAAAAAAAAAAAAAGAATCTCTAAGCACATTTGCCTCACCTCCATCCCAAGGAGTGTCATCCGGACTGCAAATCAAAACAAGCAAAAAAAAAAGAGTATTTAATACACAAGACAAAAGCTTAGCCTCTTACAGAACATATATCTATGATACAGATTCAACTTTCAATTCCATACCCAAAAATAACAGCATTCCAAAGCATTATGTTGTTGTCATAAGGAGCACCGCTGATGCCTGCTGGAGGATCCTGTTGCAGCCGCTTGAAATCCCTCATCAGTCTTTTCCTAGATGGCGTCGACATCCTCACCACTGCAACTTGATAAAAAGGAAGAAATCATTAATCATCAACAAAAATCTCCATTTTCCACGCTTCAATTTGTGTCAATTAAACAATCTTTTCATTTCATCAACCAAAAAGAACAAAATTAAATCATTGCACACAACAAAACCCTAGATCCGGAAAAAGCAATTGAAATAACCTCTTAATACAAATCGACTATCAACAAATTCACACCAATTCACTCGTCTTCGTATTCAAATGGCACATACAGCAATTGGCACATATTCAAACGCGATACAGCACAGATCATAATCAATCGCGAGGAACAGACAAATAGAGAAAGCGATGGCTTACCTAAGAGCAAGTGAGGCAACAATTTCAAAGAAAGCGACGAAATAGAATATGATTGCACTACTGGAACATCTTCTGAGCTACGCGTCGGATCCTTATACGAAGCCGAAGACTCCGAGTATTGCGTGATATAAAAGCCGGGTATGTACTATGTACCAGTCAGTTTATGAATTCCGAGAAAGGGAAAATGTTTCCGGGTCAGAACCGGTCGGCTTATATAGCAGTGGTCCAGGTCGGATCTGACAGGGCAAATATGAGATCATATCCTTAACAGGTTAACATTTGTGACTGTCCATTGGTCATTAAAGATGATATGTTTTTACTAATTGGATAAAAAAAATTGAAAAAAAAAGAAAGAAAAATTAGGAAAGTGAAATAAAAACACACTTGGATTGAAGTTTTAGTACATGTACTTCCAAATCATACTTTTTAAATTTTACTACTTAATGTGGTGGGTTCTAATAAATTATTTTTTCATATGAGTCCTAAATCAAATGTCTATATCAAGATTTTGTGTGGAAGTACAAGTTGAGAGTAGATAATGAGAGTACACACAACATTTTCTTATGTTTTATGTTCGTCAATACCATTAAAAATCAGGATAGTTATTTATTGATAATTCATTATAATGCGTTAAGGTTTGGCGGAGTTGATCTTGACACACCAACTTAGAAGAGTAGACTCATTGTGTATCTGTCAATTACCTAAAAAAAATATATAGTATGTACCTATCGATAATCTGTATGATGGGTGTCAGTAATCCATTATAATAGATTTGGATTTAGGTTTGGTGGAGTTGATCTTGGCATACTAACCAAAAAGAGTAAATTCAGTGTGTATCGGTAAAGTCTCGAAAAACTTAAAGTAGTTACATACGATAATCCATTCTAATTGATTTGAATTCAAATTTGACCCCTTTGCTCATATAGAGAGTTAGCATCGACATACCAACCCAAAAAACAACGATCATTGTGCTTGTCAAGGCCCTAGCAGGGTAGGCCTTGGCACACCAACCCAAAAGACGGGTCTATTACATCTGTCAATACCTCAATTAAGGTGGTTATGCATAAGACAAAGGGTATCTACATCAGTGATTTTTGGGTGATTTTTGAGAAAACAATACATATGTAGAGGAGATATGGTGAGAAGAGAGAAGAAAGGAGGTCTTTGTTGGAGGAGCTTGATTTAAGAATGCAACAATTAAAGTTGCATTGCATGAGGCACCAATCTCGCATCTAGCCGGACGCGTGCACGGCACGTGTCGGACTGGGCGCGTAAATCTTTATTTGTTTATTTTTTTAATTTTTTTTTCTTTTTCCCTTTTCTCCCATTTTTTTTTCATAGTCACACCTGCAAAAACTACAACTATTGAAGACTAAGTAATTATGATCATTGGTGTCCAAGTAAAATTATGATCATTGGTGTCTATATATATATATATATATATAGCCTTGTAGGTTGTCATATTCAGATAGACATTGTCCTAAACTCACTACACTGTATTATCAATCATGGACAACTAGATAGCCTAATTATAGGTGTTCCCAATTTGTAGTTTAAGTCTAAGTCTCTTTATAATTGATGAGACAGGTAAAAGATGCAGTTTGTTCTTTTCAACCCGGTTGGTTATTGTTCCGTTCCAAATATACAAAGCTGTTCAAACCACAAGAATACCAATAAAAGAAGCAGGAACAAGAAATTTGCTATTTTTAGCATCCTTCCCCAAACTACTTTCTACTGCAATGGTTTTCTGTCCCTTTAATAGCCTCATTATGTACACCCACTGCTATAACTGAAGATTTCTCCCCTCCCATCTATATTCTCTTCTCTTTATCTACCCGCGACTTAAAATTGAAAGAAAGACCGATGTTTTTGTGCTCCAGTTAAGCCAGAAACCAGCTTCGTTTGGTGATGGATTAGCTCTCACTTCACTAATTTCGGTCCATTGTACAATGCCCCGACAAATTTCAAGTCTTCGGGCACCTCCCGCTCTTTGAGCCATACATAGCTTTCCTTCTGATCCTCAGCCACCTCGGGCCCTGTTGCACCTTCATCTGTATTCGAATTCAGACAACAGATCGAGCAATCTTATGTTAGTATTGGAGACAGCCCGTAAAAAGTGTTCGGTATCTAGCAAGAAAGCTGCTGCAAAGGCGATAATGAAATTAAGCCAGTGGTACCTGAGAAGTTGGCAAAAGGGTAGTCGACGTAATACTGACAATGGCGACCTTCGAGGTCATTGTAAGGCGGGACGACCACATCGAGAAAGGCACAAGCTGTCAATGCCCTGAAGCAGTGCATGTTACAATCATTGGGGTAGAGGAGGTTAGTCTCGCAAGGGGCACTGAACTCCGAGTTCACCTTCACTTTTGCCAAACGAACTCCATCGGGATTGCCTGCATACCCGGTAAGATTAGGGAGATATAGTAGCGTCTCTATCTATAATCAGTGTTGCAAAAATCGCGCCTAGGCGCTAGGCTGTCGTCCTCCTAGGCGCTCTAGGTGCCCGCCTAGGCGTTCTAGGCACCAGCCTAGGCGGTACCCAGGCGCCTAGTGATTTTTTCAATATTGCCTATAATGGATAGTTAACGGGCGAGATTTCAAATATCTAACTTCAATTTGTTTTGCAACTAAAGAACTCGTAAAACAATGAATAAGATGAGGCTTACCATTACCACCAGGGCCAGCATCCGCCCAGTCATAGGACTGTACGTGCATTTTTCCAAAAAGAATTTTGCTGAAAACCGTCATTCCAGGATGGTTGTGGAGAGGAATAACGGCTTTCGGTGGCAAACAGAAGATCCCTATCTGCCAATATCATATGAACAACAACAATCAAGCATTTTGACACACACTTGAGCGAACGAAATCAGATTTGAACTACTGCCCGTGTTATAAAAAATTCAACGTGGATACATACCGAGAATTTATCACACTCATGGATGCGCATGTAAGCGATTTCAGGAGGCCTATCGTTTCTGGTTGGCTTGAAATATGGCATGGTTGGCTTGAAGTATGGCATGGTCGGCCTGAGACCAACATCCATCCCCGTCATTTTATCTACAAGCATGGAAAACATGATATTTAACAAATATAACTAGCCAAAGGAAAAGCTAAAACTAGACAAAAGGATGCTTATCTAATGAAACGGTTTACAGATCAAAAGATGAGATTTTTTATATAGCGATGTCTAGTTACCAAGTCTCGAAATACAGCTAACCAAGAGCACCACGGTATCGAGACAAAAAGGGCACCATTAAACTGTGCCAAGTTAAGATACCATGTTCTGCCTTTGGAATTCAGACAAAAAAGGATTGGACTACTCTGATATATAGGCCAATAAAATGAACCTTCCAGGCTAGCAAGTTATAATCATTCATTTTATGTACAATAGGGGATTATTTTTAGCCATACTAACCTCCTCAACTCAACTGATGGACCAATCTAAATAAATTAATAGTTTTACTTTACAGGCAACGGTTCCCACCGCATGGCATTGGCCATTTGTGGGCACGAATTAACAAGCACCCTTGGAAAACCTGTAAACCACCAGGACACATCTCGTGATTTACCTCCATCCTTGCCCAGAAAGGAAGTGGGAAGTGGATAGTAAAGCTCTCGAGATTATGGTGCAATCTCCTCAGCCATAAGTACTACACTACTACTACTATAGAGTATAGACACACTTGTTATCATGGTTAATCCCAAAACAAAATTGGGGTTTTAAACTTTTAATTTCCATCCTTGAGGACCACCAATACCGAACTCACAATCTCCCCAACCTTGGTCTATATATCATCTATATCTATTAGACATCTTTCCTTGTCAACAATCTAACACACAGAAACCAACTATCCAAGACACTCTACTAGGGACTAGGTACTAGGTACCAGATTCCTTTTAAGGAATTCACAGGTGAAGTTAACTCCCAAACTCCAAGGGATCCTGATATCACATCTGTGTCAAATCATACGTAAACAACACTAGAAAACAGACAACATAGTAATGGTTGCCATCAGTGCTGTGTCATTATCAATCTCCCAGTCATCAGTACGATGATATCTCCATCAACAAAACACCCAGAGACTGAGAAAAAGTAGCCAACCCAATTCTCTCATTGCTTGCCATGAATCATTATATTGCACAAAAGCATGTGCATTTGCTCTGACACTAAGAAATGATGCGGTCCAAAATAAAAGGCTTTTCGACAGTTAAAAAAGGAAGAATGATAACATACCCAAAATAGCTTTAACCCGTTCGACATTCTCCGGCGACGGGACGATGTCTGGGCCGCAATTCGCAAACACTTCCCGGCAAGTCTCGTAGAGATTCTGAACCGCCATGACTCTCCTCTGCTGCCCTCTCCGGTGTTTACTGGGCTCGACGCTCTTTCCTTTCCGATCACTAGCATTTTTGTCAACCCCCATTGCCATCCAGCATCCAAAACGCAAAAAAAATTCCGATTTTTTTTCCCGGAAGAATTCAAAAAGCGGAAAACTTTAGGGATGGGTAATTCAAGACGGATCAGGAGAACTCAGAAAAACATGATTTGGGCATCAAAAGAACCGCAACAAACTGGGATTTTTTGCTTTTCTTTTTATAAATATCTCCGTACTACATGTATCTATATTTTTAGTAATAAACAGTACATGTACGATTGTGCATCTCTGCTGCTGGGTCGAGAGGTATGAGGTGATGTGATGATGGATATATGGGGCGTTGTGGGCAGGGTAGGGGGTGATGGAAACTGGGTATAAATGGAGAGACAAATGCCAGAAAGAAGTATTCATATCTACAGTTGATTTCTAGAGACGGGGAAGGAAAACCACGGGCCATTCTTACATTCCAGTGTGCTGTTCCAATAGCGGATTCCTGCGATTTTATCCTCTTTTTTCCAGAGTCCCGCCTTTTACTTCTCATATTCCGTTCAACCCCTTAGAATTTTCATGTTTCACACTATGGTCCTTTTAAGCCATTTGCAAATTGCAATTTTTCTCCCTCCCTTTTCCCAATGTGTAGATTTTTGGGTAAGACCTACCATTTTATATCTTCTATACATTTTTTTTAACAATGATAAGTTGGAGTAGAGAAAATTTGACAAGAAATAATAAAATTGAAGTGAGGTTATAGATAAGTTAAACAATTAAATGATTGTTTGAAATTTATTTTTCTTTTTTTTTTTTTTTTTAAAAAGGGCAACAACTTTATTCACTATCAGATGTGTCTTCTATTGAATGACGTTATGTTCAGATATTGAATTCTTTTAATATCAGACTTACTGATACTGAAGTAGCTAGGGGCGTTAAAAGTGAGGGCATTTGTCCCCCATCGACACATTTGAACTGGGCGATATTCGTGCATGCCTTGCTAATTAATGTGTGCAATTCATTTACTATTAGATATACTGACTAAATATGTAATATTAATTTTGGAGAGGATGACGCTCAAAGTTGAGACAATTGTCAAACACTCTGATAAGTTCAAATTGGGCGACATACAAGGCATATGTTGCCTGATAGGGAATATTCTCGACTACATCGCATCGTATACCTGGTCGATATCAGAGCCGCATGTCGAGAGGAGCTGCACCCGAGCAGGGCCGATATCTTGGCATGTGTAACCCGACCCAGGGTTGTTGAGTGAAAGATTAGCACACTCGTTACTAGAGTCTAGTGCTCTTTGTGGCGGCCCGAGCATATATAGTCGGACCGACCGTACGACCAGCGATACTCAAAGCCCTAAAACATTGTTCCTTCCCAAATTCAATAGTGGCGAGCCCAGTAAAGCCAGGAATCTCCAAGCACATGTAGAGATCCGCCAAGTCTATGACCTACCTTTGTGTATGCACTCAACATGCCATGCATGCCGAGGGACTGACATGTACGTGCCCCTCGCTTCCCCTATAAATACCGCATTAAATGCGATATAGGGGACTTTTAGCAATTTCTACAATTTTACCTTAAACTCGAGTTCCGTGACAGTGGGTCATTAGAGAGCATCCCGAACAAAACGCCTAAATAATTTATATCAACTCGATCAAGCGATCTCAGTATAGGTGAAATGTTATTTGTAATTTTCATTTAAAATTTGTAGTCGTAAAAAATGAATACTATGATACATTATATTTTCTTTTAAAAAAAATTGAGGTATACTTCCAAAATAATTTATATGCAAATTAAAAATCAACACAATAAAATCAATTAAAATCAAATTCTCTCTAATTAAATATTAGAGTAAATACCCAAAATGGTCCCTCGACTATAGCTAAATTCACAAATTAGTCCTTGACTTTCAATTTCAACCAATTAAGTCCTTAACTTTGCAATTTTGACACGATTTGATCCTCCATCTATTTGTCCGTTTGTTAACCGCGATCTTTGAGGATATATATGTAGTTTCACGTGCAAAGCTCAAGAGAACGCTCTTGGAGGTGACATCGTTGTTTCGGAGGGGGGAAGTGTTTCTGCGCTTGCTGCTTGGGGATCCCGAGCCGGTTCAGCTTGCATACATCGCTTGGAGTCACGACTTTCTCGAAGAGCCACTCCAGGGACTTCGGCAATCTATCTATCAAAAGTTATAATCTCTCCGGCATGGGGTGCAGCGCCGGCAGTGGATTCAAATGTAACAATGTGGTCTAGAAATGCAACCGGAACCTTAAAAAATCGACGATGAACCATGAAATTACATATATATCCTAAAAAAGCGCAGTCAATAAACGGTCAAATAGACAAAGGACCAAATTGTGTTAAAATTGCAAAGTTAAGGACTTAATTAGTTGAAATTAAAAATCGAGGACTAATTTGTGAATTTAACTATAGTCTAGGGACCATTTTGGGTATTAACTCTAAATATTATTATAGTTGTCAAAAAATACAAAAATTTAGTACTAAATTACCAAATTTTAAAAGCTTTGATATCATTGTGAACATAAAATTCAAAATATTTTGCCAAAATGTCCAACAATTTCATGTAGTCAACGCCTCTTTGATGTGAATATGTGATATGAAATGCCAAAAATGTAAGGACCCAAAGTGGGAATTTGTTAAAAATCAGGATGGGAGTTATAAATAATGTATAATACGTGGGGATGGGTGAAATTTGTTAGCCTGCAGGTTAGGTGTGGTTTTGATCGGGTACGAACAAAACCGGACCAAAGTTAAATGTATATTATTATTAGTTTTTTTTTTTTTTTGTTTTTGTTTTTGTTTTTGTTTTATGAGCGATAACGAACGAATTTTTACTAATTAATATCTGTATGAAGTGAAAATTTATTTATTATATTAATTTAATGTATAATGTTTACAAATATTATTATTTTTAAAAAATATAATAAAATAGACGATTGATGTGCATTGTAACAATAATGAAAAAAATAGTAAAAATTATAATAATAAGCATATTTTTTTCCAAAAAAATATATATAATGTCGCTCTAAAAGCATAATGTACAAAATGATTAATACTAAAAATATAAAATTATGGATATAACTTTAATGAGACTTATTATGCTTTTAGATTATGAGTAAATGTCATATGTGGTCTTCCGAGTATAGTGATTTTGCCACATTTAGAATTAAACTTTCAAATTATTACCATTCATGGTCTAAGTTAATCACACATAGTTCTTCAACTTTTAAAATTTAAGTCGTGATCCTATGAAAGAATCATGGGTGGTCAAAATTTGATAGATGAAGAACCATAGGTGGTTAACTTGGATAACTAATGGTAAGAATTTAAAAGTTGAAAGATTACGGATGATCAATTTAAAAGTTTACGGCTAAACGTGTCAAAATCACTATACTCAGAAAAGCTCAGATATTATTATTATTATTATTATTATTATTATTATTATTATTGTATCATCTGGCCATCAATGATCAACCGGTTCAACCCCCATACTTTAACGTTTACTAAGCTTTAACGTAAAATTTTTGTTAGGGTTTGGTGGATTGTAAAATATTGTTTTTCCGGAAAACATGTTGGATTATGTGTTTTCCCATAAAAATCTCCTAGATTTATGTACGTTGTTGTAAAAAACGTACAACAACGATCAATTTTCTTCTAACATTTGCTTATACTATTTCTATTTTATATTGAACAGATCTTATATATAAGACTGTAAAAAAGTGGTATTGGCGCTGTTTGTCACATCAAAGATTGAACAATAACAAGGCGTTTGGTTGGAGATGTTGAATTACGTGAAAAAGGAATTGCAATTTCATAGTAGATTAATTACTGGGAATAAAGTGGGAATTTAAATTTTATTGTTTGGTTTACAGTAATAGAATTACTAGGAATTTCAATTCCAATGTTTGGTATACATGGGAATTGAAAGGGAATAAGTAGTAAAAAGTAAAAAATGTCTGTTGTTGTTAGACATTAATTTTAAGTTAAAAAGGGGAAGGGGAATTTTAACTCATCACTATCTTTTTTTTCTTCCTAAAATTTCAGGAATTAAAATACCAATGGAGACATGGGATTTTAATTCCATTAAAATGGGGGAGTTGCAATTCTTTTCAACCAAACAAGAAAATTTTGTGGCCTTTAAAATTAGGTGGGAATGAAATTTAAATTCCTTTCAACCAAACGCCCTGTAAAAGATAAATAATTTAAGATAGAAAAATATAAAATTGAAAATTAATTACTTTGTATTTATTACAAACTAAGGAAAATATAGGGTGTGCATTACTCTAACATGTCTTAATCTAGAAAAAAATGTGATTCCATTTTTTTTTTCTATCATTGCTTGCAATGGTATTAAGTTCCATGCGGTTGGGTGTGTCCTATGTGATTGTGCAGTTAAATATGAGCCATTGATCTTGTTTAAATCAACGTCCAGAATTAACAGTGGTTAAAAAAACGCGCGATGACAATTTGATCTTTTTGCATATAGGTCAAATTTAAGGTGCGTGATTTTCATTCTTAAGATGCGTGGTTTTTGTGATTAAGGTGAGTGGTTTTTGTACTGTGTGGCTTAAGGTGCGTCAGTTGTTGAAAACTTAAGTGCGTCAATCTAAAGCCTTAGGTATGTGGTTTTCCTTCTTAAGGTGCGTCGGCTTAAAGCTTTTGGTGCGTGATTTTCCTTCTTAAGGTGTGTTGTTTTCCTTTTTAAGGTGCGTGATTTGTATGCTTAAGGTGTGTCAGTTGTTGAAACTTAAGGTACGTGGTTTAATTTGTGTTATTAAGGTGTTTTGTTTGTCTGCTTAAGGTGCGTGGTTTGTGTACTTAAGGTGCGTCATTTTAAAACTTTAGGTACGTGGCTTATGGTCTTAAGGCGCGTCATTTTAAAACTTTAGGTGCGTGGTTTGTGGTCTTAAGGTGCGTCATTTTAAAACTTTAGGTGCGTGATTTGTGGTCTTAAGGTGCTTTGTTTGTGTGCTTAAGGTGCGTGGTTTGTGTACTTAAGGAGTGCCATTTTAATGCTTAAGGTGCGTCTTTTTGAGTTAACCGCACAACTGCACGAGAAGCTATACCCACACCTGAACCCTTCCCTATAGACTATTACCCAATAACAAGGTTTATCAGTCACACTTTTATGATTGTGATTGTGAACCCGCATGGACAGCTCAACTGGTCATAGAGGTGAAAAGTTGGAAGAATGACCATGGAACGAGTCTCACCAGCGACAGTGTGGGAGCTACCTCTAAAAGTGAGGGGGGGCTCCTTGTGCGCAGTAAGCAAAGGTCTAGCCTCTGTGGTTCATGTTTAGTTGCCCAAATGCTCTGTCGGCAGTTGAGTGTCGGGGTGTCGAGGATAGAGGAAATGGTCAAATAGATTTTTCAACTTTCAATGAAAAAACAATTAGGGCTTCCAATTTTAAA